TTCATGTCGGCAGTTCAGAATCGATTCTTTCTCTTAGGAGTCAACAACTTTATTTGTGCAATTTGATCTTTAAAACTTTGCAGACTTTTACATCCAGCAAACAGCTAGTTTGCATGAAAGCATGAAAGGTTATACTCAAGAAAAGCATAATAGGGGTACTTAAAAAAATAAAATAAACTACTGACCCCAAACTTTGTACTAAGGTAATGAAGGACTTGATGATTAGATAAGATGGAATAGTCATGTTGAAGTAAAAATTGCTTGGCAATTCTACAAACCTACCTAAGAGTGAAGCAAAAATGACAAAACGATTTGGATTGAGATTAAGTTGCTTGGCAACTTCATGCATCAGGTATTGGCTGGTGGTGAGGCTTTTGCCGTTGCGGCTGAGTTTGAGAGCATGGGCACTGAAGTAGTACGGGATGTTGCACAGGGCGTAATCAGAATCATAAGCAACCAGGCCATGGAACCCATTTTCTCTAAATAAGGCAATCACTTCCTGGTGATGATCCTCGATGGTCTGGACAACCTGCGTGAGGAAGCAAATTACAAAAAAGGCTCTTTAGAAGAACATAAACATTTACATTTACACAGATTTCCATGAAAGGATGTGTGGCACGTTAAGTCTAGGAAATGTTATTTCTAATTGCATCACATAATGGTTTCTCTGTCAAATGCTTTAATCGATTAGCACTATTTGAAAGAATCAATGACGAGATGATTCTGGACTGTGATGTGAATTTTAAAACTATACATTGAGCAACATGATGTCCGATGGCCTTTACTTGATAGGAAAACAAGGCATGACTTGTGAACAAATACATTTTTAAATCCATCATATTGCACACATCCTGGCCCACATTTCAGTTTCTGAATTGATCCAATGTTTATGAGTACAGGAGATAAGTAGATAAAAATCCCAGTAGTATAATTTGTCCATGCCTACATAAACAACAATCCATATTACATACACTTATAAACTTTTGCTGAAAAAAGTACCCCAAAAAATACTAAATTAATGCAAACAAAAGTGTTCATGGGCAAAAATATAATAAGTCGTGGCTCTCTTCTGAGAACAGGGCCCATAAACTTAGTCTCAGCCTGTACTGCTACTAAATCTCAGCAGAAGTGACGCAAGAGAGCGTGCAGCCAATCACAGAGCAGTGCTTACTATTTCTGTCACAAGAGTGTGACGCAAACACCAATCACAGAAAAGAAGAGGTGGCGCTTACTTTTGCCAGCACAACCTACTACTACATGGCTTCTTTTCTGCATTTCATACATAAATGCATGTTTTTCTTCTATTCTGAGGTTAATATTTGGTTATTCATTTTTAAGGTTATTGATGTGTACACATAGATAACACTTTTCCTTTCTGTCGAGGTAAAACAAATATTGAATAACTATTTAAGAATTTTCTTTTTTGTTGTTATTTATACCATATTTACAGTTAAATATTATGTCATTAATACCTTATGCTTCGATTTCATTCAGTTTTAATGTCAATGCATTGCCAACCTGTACAGCTGGCTTGTGTTCACTAAATGCCTGTGGAAATGAGATCTGACCATATACCACCAGCATGTCCTACAGATTTGTGTCCAAGACCCTGCAAACCAAACCCATGTATTTATGTTCCAACAAGTTGGATCCTTGCTGAAAACCAGCCTTAACTGATTAGCTGGCTTGAAGGTTCAGGGTGAAAAATTAAACCAGCAGAATATCTTGGTTCTAACATGTTTGTGTGTATGAATTAATGCAACATGTAAACAAGGTAGGGCTTTATTCATATTTGATTGAAGAATACGGTTTCACTGTCAGTCTAGTTTGATTACCTTCCCTTGGTCTACTGACTGGTTTTGGAAACTTTTCAGCTAAACCAGACTGTGAGACCAACTTAAATCAGCTAAGACAAGCAAACAATGCTTTGTTGTTTTTGTTAAACTGGATAACTTACACAACAACACGAAATAAGTCTAGGCCACCTGCTAGCTGCCAACCCACTGTGTCTTGTAAGTCGAGCACTTGCTTGATCACTTGATCTGGGTCTGGTTCGGCTAAGCTAATGGCTGCATGTCAAAAACACAGCGGGCATCTGCCGCTACTCACCCCGATGTGGAACCTGAGGAGCGCCAGGCGGATGCAGTGGGCCATGCACACCGGGGGCAGGAACCAGACCTTGGGTGGTGGGGTTCCCTTGTTCTGGATGTGGCTGACGATCTGCTGGGCGGTCTGCCTCTCGTTCACCTGTCGCTTGACCCACTCGTGGAGACGGCCTTTCTCCAGGGCGCCATTGAAGCACACTAGCAGCTCGATGTTGCCGTTGAAACAGGCTTTGGCGAGGGCTGCGAGGTACCCAAGCATGTGGTTCCACTGGCCTCCGCTCACCCAGTCGGTGTAGAAGCCGCCGTAGAGCCGGTGCAGGCAGTTCTCGGCGTCAACCAGCAGCCGGAGCGGAGTTTGAGGGGGTCTCTGCCGGCCGCCGCCGACCAGACTACCTCGGGCGAGCTTCTGGAGCTCCACTGGCACCACGGCATTGGGGCAATGCTTCTCAATGTATTCCTGGAAACCCTGCACACCCATGGCTGTTGTTTTATAATATGATATCTACTGTTATTTCGGGTTAAGTAAGAACGTAAAATTATCTGGAGGAAATGGAGACAGAGCGAGAGAGAGTTGCAAGCAAGCAGCCGCTCCCGAATGCTGAAAACCGGATTGAAGAATATTGCGGCGGATGTGATAGTTGATTAATCGAAAATCAATCAAATCGGAGATGCATCTGTAGTTTTTGGTGAGTTGTTTTTTGGTTCATGGCTGCTTGCCGCCATGTGCACCCTTATGGAGCCATGTCTGCGGTCTGGATGTATCTGGTGAGTAGGGGAAAGACAGGAGAGGAGCGACGCAGGGCACGTACAGGCAGTCACACCGGAGGAGGAGTCTGGAGTTCAGTGGGCGCGGTTCTCGTGGAGGAGAACTGTTGCATGTTATGATACTCTTGCTAATATAAAACCTAAAACGTCTCATATGGCTAGCCGTAGCCGATTACACATATATTCTTTTTAAAGTTGAACATTTTAGCAATAACTATTCCTACTATGTAAATAGTAGTAATAAATTACGTGGAATAGTATATGAATAGTCTACGAACAATATGAATATGCTATACAATAAATAACACTAATGTTGCTATTGACTTCAATAGGGCTCTATGGTTCCTATATCAGCTGTATTTGCTACGGTAACGGATTTCAGTTGTGACAACTTACTATTTATAGTTTTTCGTTAGATCTAGAATCTAAAGTGAATTATATAATACATAACTGATAATGTTCTTAAAGTTAATGAATATCTTTTTTAATACTGGGCTTCCATCTGTTGGCTGAGGATCTGGTTCGGGTCCCTGGTTAAAGGAAAATTAAACGTTTTTCAAGGTTCAATCGATAGAGGGCGCCAATGCGTTATTTTTCTACACAAGAAGCCAGACGTTTCTCATTAGAAGCAGATACTTTGGCACACATTGGTGATAAGATATGATCTAATTCGATCTACCACACTGGTAATCTGTCATTTGATTTATTTGAATTCAAAACAGCCAGAGAACTTTAAATGTCCCTTAACGGTGTGCAAAAAAAAAAAGAAAATTCTGTCAATTTACTCTCCCTTGTTATGTCATTTCAAATCTGTATGACTTTCTTCTGTGAAAGAAGATAATTTGAATTATGTCTCAGTACATATATTATACAGACAGAAAATGTTGGTAAGTATCATTTTATTTGTGTCGAGAAGAAATCGTTTCACAGACAACTGAAGAAACAGAGAATTCTACATTCCTACTGTGTGAAAACTGAATATTGAAAACTAGAAAAATTGACAAAGTATACAAAAACTGTAACATCAATTGTATTGAGGAAATATTTACATTTTGCTGAAACACGGCACTTTCAATTATTATACAAAAAAAGTGGCACATACTACATCTACATACATTTTTGTCTACTTATGACCAAAAATCTGTATGTATGGCTTTATAAAAGTGCAATTTAAAGTCTGAGGTTTGGCTGAGTGAATATATCAGAAAGAATGCAACGAATAAATGCACAGGTCATGTTTAAGACTGTTACTGTATGACTGTCTTTAAAAAGAATAGTTCACCCGAAAAATGAACCTTCTGTCATTAAAAAAAACTTTTATGAAAGAAACTTAATGTGTCTCAAGCTCCAAAATGGACCAGAAGGCACCATAAAATTAAAATAGACTAAAAGTCATCATTCATTCATAAGTCATAAGATTCATTCATTCATGTATTCATTAATTAGATCTGTTGTTTTATCCTTTTTGGAGCTTGACATGATTGTTATAAACTTTTGTACTAAAAAAAACTGTCTCATTGTTTTGAATTTCTCCTGTGTTTCACAGAAAAACAGGTTTAAACAACATGAGGGTGGAACTAAATAATGAAAAAAGTTTCATTTTTGGGTGAACTATCACTTTCAATTATCATGCTTTCTGCTTTGTCTTTATCTAGTATGTTTACATGCACAATCATACAATGATATTTCTTAATAACCCAAAAACAGACTATCCAAACACCTTAAACAATGTTATTTTATCAGATAAAAAAGGTGAAGGCAAAACCTGATTGCAACGCTTACATTTTAAATGTCTATACATTACTGATATTTGTACAAAGGCTTTTATTCTTGCATCAGCATATGTTGTGCATGCAAACATACTCAATATCATTAATTGAGGTTATAATTATAAGTGGTCCCTTTGTTACTACCTTTAACACTGCCTCCTCATCCAGACTAACATGTCAAACAAAACAAAAAATTGTGGGCTTCGGTTTAAGGATGGCTGCTTTAGACTCGCATAAAAATCACAGAAATTGAGATATTCCACAAATAGACAGCACCATAGTGTCGGCCCAGATCCGGCCCACATCTGGTACACTTGGATTCCACACGGTCCAGAACTGGGCCGACACTATTTTGCTTCACCAGCCCACCTCTCACGATAAACTGGGCCAGATGGCAAAACTGCTGCTCAGACGTCCAGTGACATTCTGAAGTGTTGTACCCTTTGAGCCAACTCTTTGGCAATGTCCTGTGCCTCCTGGACAGCCAGTTTGTCAGGGAAGTTCACAGCTGCCTTCTTGGTCACCATGGCCAGTTGCTTGAGATAGGCACACAGCTGAGTGCTCATTTCCCGGTTGCCTTCTCGACTTTTGGCTTCACTAGACAGAGTGTTCAAAAGTCTTTGGCCTACCATAATAATCAGCTTGCTGTGGGAGATGAATTTTTCCGGGGGCTGGCCATCATTCAGACTACTTCTAAACACGCTGATGGCCTTCTGAATGGCTCCAAAATATAGCCGGCAGTGGTCAGAGATGCAAGGCTTCCAGGAGGTTTGGAGTGGACTGCAGGGGCTAACGGGTTGTGATTTGAAAACCTGTTGAAGACACGATAAATAATGAAATTGTTTAGAAAGTCCAAATCAATATAAGTTTTGAACACAATACTGGGAGCTGTACTGGGAGCGTCACACGTTTTTACCTGTTTTTTATCACCGTTTTTCTTTGATTTAAAGCTGCTCTTTGCTGGTTTTGGTTGTTGGTCAACCTCTGGCTTTGTCTGTTGAAAAGCAATAACATTGGTTAAAAATATTTAGGCAAACAATATTATTGGTCATGTCTTATAATTTATTCAATGTTATACTACTATTCAAAAGTTTGGGGTCAGTAAGTTTAATTTGATCAAAAGTGACAGTAAAGACATTTAAAAGGTTACACAATTTCTATTTCTATTCTATTTCAAATACTGTTGAGCACCAAATCAGCATATTAGAATGATTTCAGAAGAATAATGATGCTGAAAATACAGCTTTGCCATCACAGGAATAAATTACATTTTAAAATATATTAAAATAGAAAATGGTTATTGTAAATTATACAAAAATATCTCACAATATTACTGTTTTTGCTGTATTATTGATCAAATAAATGCAGCCTTGGTGAGCATGAGAGAGTTCTTTCAAAAACATAAAAGTTAGTATATACAAATGATTTTGATTTATGGTACAACGTACATTATTATTAGTTGTAGCAGGGATGCAAGATATAGCAGTACCATATCAGCAGATATTAATAAATATATAATAATTAAAAAATATATAGAAAATAATAATAATTTATCACGCATGTTAATTTTTTCCATATAGATGACCGGTCACAGTGATTTTGCCAAGACAGACATGGTCCTGGATCAACATATTTTGTTGATCCTGGATCAACATTCCTGTCCCAAAATGTAGTCCTTACCCAATCCCTACCCCTAAACCTAACCATAACTTTTCCCTAAAATCAGAGGGTAATGAAAGGTTAATAACACTGATGTTTTAGTACTTCACTCTGGTTCTAAGCCTAAACTTGACATAAACTGTAAACTTGTCCCTCAAATCTGATTGATTGATTGGAAAGTTGATCCAGTACTTGGTGAAATCACGTTCACCATGAAGATCCATTTTTCATACTGTACATTGTAATGTTGTGATGCTTACATTCACATGTAGTATTTACAATGATTGATTTCTTAGTTTTTACCGTTTTATTTCTAATTTATTTCATTTATTTATATTTAATATATATATATATATTTTATAGTATAAATTTCTAACATAAAACTTTCTAAAATCGTCCATTTATTGGTTATAGGCCATAACAGGAAGATAACTATGGGGTTATCGGTATGAATCCAAAATTTAGAGTAATAGCATTTTATTTATTAATATAACTGCTATTAATGTTAATGAGAGTAGCCTGTAGTGTGATTTGCCTACCTGAAGTTGCACATAGTCACTCTCATCTATTCCTGAGTCTACCATTGGTTCACATTTACTTCTCCATTCAGATGAGCCTACATCCTCCACCATGTCTGGTTCCTTAGTCGGCACTCTGAAAAGAAGCTTTCCATTTGCGTTCAGGATGGACACCAGTCTCTTCACATCCTCTGGTACGGTCCGAGCCACCATAACAAACCGCTCCAGGTGGTCAGGCGTCTGGGACTGGCCGGCATCCTGAACTAGCTTATCCAGCAGCCAGCCCAGATCTCGTAGAGCGCTTGCAGCCTGCTGAAGGATCAAGCCTGAGTCTTCAACGATGGAGAGCTGCTTCAGGAGCCTGGTCTGGAGGTTAGAGTCTGTCAGCCGCTGCGCATTACCTCTGACATCCAAGGCAAAGTTCAAGAAGCAGTTGACGGAGTCAGTTACGTCTTCGGCAGCCGTGCGGATCTTATGGAGGTGCTTTTCCAGGTGCTCTTTGCTCCTCCATTGGCTGCTGACGAACAGCATAAGCTTGGGCACGGATTGGCACACCACTTCCAGCAGCTCGAGCAACCTGCTGCCAGCTTCCTCCTGTGAAAGCGTGACCTCACGCAAGGGCTCGGGTTCCGGAGAACTCAGCATGAAGGAGTCGCAAGAGCTCCTGGAAGAACTGGAAGAACTGGAAGCCATGGAAGAAGTGGACACCGTTGAGCTCCTCTGGTGGTCTTTGTTATTTTCATTGTCCATTCCAATCATCCCTTCCACAGGCTTCCTGGACATTGCCCTGTCTCTTGAGGGCCAATGTTGGTCATACATGAGTCCAGGTTTACCCCTGTAATCAAGGGGTTCGTGGCTCTTTATAGGGTCCATTTCAGGAAGGCTTTGACGTTTGGGTAACACTACAGGGGTCTCTTTTGGTTTAAGGCAAGGTGGAACATCATAGATGCATGCATTTGTTGATTTCCCAGTGTCTATACAAGATTGCACCACAGCATTGCTCGGTTTGGGGATGTCATAGAGGGGCTGGACGACACTGTGCTTCTTTTCAGGGCAAATGTGTGTTGGCAAAGTGTCATAAAGAGGCTGCTTGTTTGAATTAATAGTTTTGGGTGGCATGGTTCCGTAATAACCAGGTTCACATCCTTGCTTTTGTGGGAAGAGAGGCACATCATAAATCCATTCAGGTTTCGGCATGGTAATAAAACCACATGGAGGCTTTTGAATATCCTCACTGATGGAGGGTATTGGGATGTCATAATTGGGGTCTTGGGACACTAATGGGTGTATAGTGGCGACCTAAAATAGAAGCAAAAGTTTTCAGTTAGAAATGCTTCTGAAATTGCACAAATTGATTTGTTTCAGCATTTATGTGTTACTGTAGATGCATTATCATGCCTACTTTTATATTGGTTGCAGTTGCGCATCTTGCATTTTGTAGCATTTCATATCTTTTATTAAACGCTGTGCTTGACGTCAGTAATGTTTCCCTTTCCAAAGGCCGCCGTGTAGATGGCTTCAAAAGACAAGTTACACAGTTTATGAAGTTAAATGTTATCAATATTATTTTGCAGAGTATTTCTAAAGCTGACCATCACTGTCTCTAACCAAAAATTACTAGGTGTGAAGGTTTTCAAACTTTTCAATTGGGACTCCCAAATAAAAGCACGTTGTGTAAAGACCCATAATTTTGTTGTTGTTAAAAAAACACACACAAAAAAACACCATTGTTTCCAAAATCAAATAACTGGTTTGATATTGTCACTATACTAATGTGAAAAACAAAACAAATAATTCATTTTAAAAAATACAATGTAGGCCTATCTCTTTTTTTTTTACCTGCTATCAATATTAGATGTATAATCTTTTTTGATTAAAAGTATGATTTATATTGTAAATATTTTCATACTGATAAAACAATGGCAGTCAATAAAATAAATTGTGCAAAAACCAGAATTAAACATTAAAACTGTTTTCTGTAATTGTAAATCAGATTTCTAACTATATAATTTATACATTTTTATTTCTTTCCTGCATTTCACCCTGTTTTCTCTAAAACATAAAAATAAAAATTCTGCAGACCCCCCCTTTCAGCCCTCTGTGGGGTCCCTTAACCTAGTGAACAGATTTCAAAAGAAAACCTTAAGAGGACTTACTGTGAACAAGGAGGGTTTTCTCACCGGGCTTGGTACATCATATATTTCTGTACCAGTTCTGGGATGAGCAGTTAGAGCCTGAAAAGAGCAAAAATGCATGTCTAGTCACAAAACTAACTCAACAAACAAACAATTCAATGCTCTGTGGAGGTGTCAACACATGGCCCGCTTCTTACTGCGAGACAGGATCCTTTAAAGTGCTGTGCACTTTACTGTACTTGTGCCCTGTTAACCCAGTTTTCTAATTAAAGCCATGTTATAAGCTGCAATAGTAAACGTCTCTCCCTGAAGCAGGAGGGGAAGTGGGCAACATGTGCACCCAGTTGCCTCACATATTACACAGTAACTTGCACAGACACTTCTCTCTCTCTCTCTTTCTTTCTGTCTTTCTCTCTTCCCCTCTCTCATTCTTTCTCTGGGGTCCTCAGCCCTAGATTTTCTGGTTGCAGTTAGTGGTGTCTGAAATCTGTCTTTGCTGTTCTTTTATGAGCTCATAAAGCCCCTGTGCTACATACCTGTCCCCGCAGAGAGAGGCCCCTGGTCCCCATCTGTAAACTCTTTGCCAGCAGGGGTTTCCGAGACCTTGCTTGTTGTTTGCCTCAGTTCAATGTATACTAAATCATCTAAATATTCAGATCTGTCTTTTATGATTGCAAGGGTACTATTGCTTTTATATAACAGTTCTATAAACAAAGTTAATATTGAGTAACTTACATTTTTGAAAAAATTCAGTGTCTTTTTTGTTTTGCTCTGCCAACGAAAAAAGTTTCAGGCAAAGTTGCAACCGTTGCATGTCTCTGAGACACACTTCAACAGTACTGTTTAGTTACTAAATTAATCAGTGTTTTAGAATGGAATCCTTTGAATGAATTATTCATTTTTTCTGGTCTTGGACGAATCATTGTTTTTGAATGAATCGGTTGGGTGAATAAATCAATGACTCACTCATCTGAAAGTACATACAGTACATACTACTGTATGTACTTCTTTTGAATAAGTAAACACTTTGTGACTGCTGAAAAATATGTTCTATTTAATATGAATATGTGTATAGTATAAACGTAATCTGGGTGTCCTATAGACCTTCTATAGCTCCGGCCCTTTTAAGAGCTGCGCTCGTTGCGTTCTGTCTTCTGGTTTGTATTTCCACAGAATGAAGGTAAGATCTTACAGATTTATGAATGAACCGCTAGTTTTAAAATCTTCCCGGTCTACTGCCATTTGTTATGACATCCGCTTCAAACATCTTTCCCTAACTCTAAAATAAGTAAATCCACTTCACCGGGTAATTAGCCTACTCTTTGACAGCCATGCCATAGAAATATACAGGGCTACCGCCAAAACGGAAGTTAAAAGACAAAATTCTAAAGATGGCAGCGCGCTTGTTTCTCTGGTGCATAAGGCCTATACATTCGTCGTGTTTGTCATGTGACCTACCCGCATCATTTGCGTTACTTCACTGTCATTCACAAATCCTCTCCCGTGCCCTCATGGCCTCAATACTGTGAATTTAGACATTAAACTCATTTCACATACTGTTTTTACCTACTATATAGGGAATTATGCGTAATTGGATGCAGCCAGTCATTTGTTTCAGTCTTGAATTAATCCGTGTTTTGAATGAGTCGGTTGGAAGAATGATTCAGTCAATCAGTGTTTCAACAAATTGATTGGATGAATGATTCAAATTAATTACTCACTCATAAAGACACTTATTGTCATTTACTGGTGTAACGATGTAACCTGAGGAAATAGTCACTGAATAATCCTCACCACTACTGCATAAATTGACAGTCTGGAACACTGAAAAGTTCCAGTGCTGTTGGGCCAATCAAATTCAAACTCAGGAACTAACTATTGCATAAAACATAAACATGACCCAGTAATAGAAAAGGTGCGGTTGATCCAATGAGAGACTTACTTTATGTGGAGACCTGGTTCCTTCTGGATCCTCTTGTGCCGTGTGCTTCTCTGGTGAAGGTTTGGCTTGATGGGGCACTTTATATACTGTATTCATATCTTCATAAATTGAATTCTCCGGTGGCTTGGTAGCGTTTGGAGTTTGATAGATGTTCTGATGGCTATGGTTGCTCAAGAAGTCTCTCTGTGGACTTAAGTTCGTACAAAGTTTCTCAGCCTCTGCTGGAGAAAGAGGAGCCAGGCGGTTCGCTGGTGCCAGGCCCTGACGTCCATGAAGAGAACACGCCCACCAACCGATGCTCCCCGCTACATTTTTCTCTAGCACCAAGATGATGTCACCCTTGCGAAAAGCCAGCTCATCTTCAGTTTCGGCTGTGTTGTCATAGAGAGCTCTGGCATACAGGGTCTGAAGGAAACAGAAGACAGAAGATATGAGAGATTGGTCCCTTAAGACAAGTTCTGGTCAGAAGACACGTAATGACAATGACACACAATGAAGAAGCACCACGGATGGCAGTAATGTCTTGGAATTGGCTTTAAATAAACAATGGCCTTGTGTGACAAGGATAATGGGCCAGTGCGTAACTAGGCACGACTTTGTAGCCCTGCTGAAAGAATCCATGTGATCCTTGTTCCCTAGTTATCTGACGCTTTGTTCAGATAGGAAGCAAAAATCCAACACAAATATACTTTTTTCTTTGCCTTATTGCAATATTATACTACCAGTATCGATATCATCTTGATAAAATGCTTTTGTTATGTCTATAAATTCAAAACTTTGGGGTCAGTAAGGTTTTTTTTATAAGAAATGAATGCTTTTATTATGCAAGGACACATAAAAATTTATCAAAAGTGACAGTAAAGACATTTAATGTTACAGAAAATTCCCATTTCAAATACACGCTAAACCTTTCAATTCATCAAAGAATTCTAAAAAACGGTATATGTTTCCACAAACATTTTTAGCAATTGTTTTCAACATTGATAATAATAAGAAATGTCTCTTGAGCAGCAAATCAGCATATTAGAATGATTTCTGAAGGATCATGTGACACTAAAGACACAGGTAGAGTAAGGATGCAGAATATTTAGCTTGGCCATCACAGGAATAAATTACATTTGAAAATATATTAAAAATAGAAAATTTGTTATTTTAAAAATTGCAATCATATTTCATAATATCACTCACTGTTTTACTGTATTATTGATCAAATAAATACAGCCTTGATGAGCATAAGAGACTCATTTCAAAAACATTTCAAAATATCTTACTGATCCCAAAAATGTGTGCATGTATGTATAAACAAAAAAAGATGTTTTCCTAATAAGACAGGTGTATGGATGAAAAGCCTTTCTCTATGCTTGGTTTTCACTTCCTACAACAATTGTCTTAAAAAAAAAAAAAGGAAACATCTTCCACACACTTCCCTATGTCTACATTTTAAAATCCCAAAAATACAACATTTGGGCTTCTGGTCTAGACTGTTTATCGGTGGGAAACAGGTTGGACAATGAATCCATTCAAATCATTTTTAGCAGAAATATCTAAAGCACTCTGACTTTCTGTAAATTCAATAGCGTTTCCAGAGTTTGATACTCATGTACATCAGATGTCTGTATGTTATTTATAAATAGGCCCTCAGACACAAACACAAACACCTGCACCTACAAATCATACAGTAAACAAGATATTTGATGTGTGTGACATCTGGAGAGCCACTCGCTCAGCACACATCACCACACACACACACGCTTGTCGTATGTGCACACGTCTCTTTAAACCCCGTCCCATGTGCTCACAAATTCCTCAGCAGCAACAGTGCACATGCTTGAAATGAAACATCACGTCCATGGAGGAATACCTTGAATGAACACAGACTGTTACACAACTATCTATCAGTCACTCAGCCTTATTATCGGTGACATAAAACAAATCCAAATCAATTATAACAGTTTAAATGTTCAGATCAGATTCCAATTACTTTTGTTCGGGAAATGTAAGGTCATACAAAGCGTGCAGTATTGTCTGACACACACATACACATACATACACGTCGCACGCGCGCACACACACACACACACACACGCCCGTTAGAATTTTATGGTTTTACCTATTTTATCAGAACATAATAAAAAAAATCATCTGGTCGTTAGCAATTCTTACATTTTGGTAATACAACCTCAGATGAACAACAACAAATGACATAATATAGCTGCGAGCAGCGATTACGGGCCCAAGCCGGTGGCACCGCAACCCCGGTGCCTTTAGTTACCTAAAGGCACCGGAGTGGCGGTGCCGCCGGCTTTGGCCCTTCATCGCTGCTCGCAGCTATATTTATATATATATATATATATATATATATATATATATAAACAAGCCGGTGGCACCGCCACCCCGGTGCCTTTATATATATATATATATATATATATATATATATAAACAAGCCGGTGGCACCGCCACCCCGGTGCCTTTAGGGTTACTGTGCATGACGGGCAATATCGTAACTCCGCTTTGACCTTTGAGAAGATGCGTGCTGTAGAGCTTGCATTGGTGTGGGCTCTGCAAAAGTGTGCATTGAGGGCACATATCAACCACAAAGTATGCGTGAGCAACCTTCTGAAACCTAAAATGAAAAATGAGACACCCTACGGTCTCATGGACTTAATGGACACATGAAATAAGTACACAAGTTTGAAAGTTATATGAAGTGTGCCAAGACAGAATATTACTTGCCTGATCTGATTAGAAAAATAGTTGGTGTGTGTGTGTGTGTGTGTGTGTGTGTGTGTGGCGTGATTGAACAATGTAGACATAAAAACATACCCCGTCCTTTTGTTCATACAGGACATTATTCAAACTGCAAAGTGTTTACTTATATTTGTGTACAATCGCAATAAAACACAACATTGTGCTTTTGTCAAACTGTAAACTACAACTGTCACCCAACCGAAATCTCTTACACACACACACACACACACACACACACACACACACACACACACACACACACACACACACACACACATAGTTTAAAAGCAAAAAAAATCTTTTGGACATTCATCATATTGCATTTGTTTTCATTTATTGTCCTCGATCAGAGCCCTAATCTGTTTATTTTTTCAGTTACACATTCTACATTGATTAAAAAAGAAAAATCAAATGTGTTTTTATTTTATACATAAATAAATAATCTATCATTCAGATGAGAATAAAGTTAGTGTTAGTTCAAATTTTAAGGAAAACAAATATATGATCTGAAATATAGCACATTCATTTATAATTCATTCAGGTTCAATTACCAAACATACAAATCTCAATGTAATTTAAAGCAAACAATACATTTAAAATATATGGGTTGTATGCTATTTTTTTTATATAAAAAGATATATATCCAAAAAGACAAGGCCTAAACTTTAACAAGGGTTAAACAATCACTGTAACAGACACAATCATACACACACACACACACACACACAGACACACACACACACGTCAAATCACTTACATTTTAGATGCAATATTGACTTTTTTTCTGTTTCAGCAGCGAAAATAGTTAAACAAAGATCACAGCAGAACCATCGAGCATCTCACAGCAACGCGTTCTCATTACTGAATGATTCGTTGATTCGTACTGATATCGAATCGTTTGAACGAATGAATCAATGACCCGCTCATTAAGACGGTCGCCTGGCGACACCTAGTGACGGTTTAGTGTTATTTGATTATACACTCAAAATATTCCACAACAAATCCTTTAAATTTAATGATATTCAGAACAGAACACGAATAAAAAAATAACTATAATAAAGCCAAAACGAAATAATTTAAAACAAAAGTAAAAGTAAGTGGTGTTAGGCTCACGTAAATCTCTCTTTAGAATCTAAATGTTGCAACATTTGCGATGTATTTGGATGCTAAACTATTCTTTATTACAGGCTTTGTACTTCACTCACGTTCCAATATCGACGGAAAAAATCATCCTCTTCACTTGTGCAAAAATGTGCTTGGAAAAATCACAGTGGAGCGGTGCTTACTGTGAATGATACAAATTGTACTACTGACTATTTCAACATAGCAGTGTAATTTGTATATGTTAGGTTGAATGTTTTATTATTGTGTGTGTGTGTGTGTGTGTGTGTGTGTTTGTGTGTGTGTGTGTGTGTGTGTGTCAGTGTGTGTGTGGGGGTCTGGGTGGCTCAGCGCGATTGAACAGTGAAACATACTCCGTCATTTTCTTCATACAGGACATCATTCAAACGTCAAAGTGTTTACTTATATTTGTGTACACTCGCAATAAAACACAACATTGTGTTTTTGTTAAATAAATTAAAGTAATACGTCCCCCGAAATGGCGCTAATTTTAAAATGAAACTAAAATGCTCACGGCTGCACGGGCATTCATAACTCTGCGCGCCCACGGTGAGGGACGAGCAGAACAGAGCGAACGTTGTTTAGTTCATTCCTACTTCCATAGGAATTAATTGAAAAAGCTCACTCTACTCTGCACCATTATTAATGAATTGTGCAGACGTCCTTATTTTACTTTCGCTTTTTACCTGATTTTGAACACAAGAGGGCAGTATAACACTATGTATGATTTGGAAAAAAAATTTTTTTGACTAAACAACCATTCTGGCTGTTTTTAAACTTAAACATTATTCTCTAATTGCTCTCACCATGCCCGTTTCTGAAACTCTGCACATGTCTACTGTCTAATAAATGTGATGTGTCTGTCGGGTTTCATGCAATTTCAAGTATGTTAAGAGTCTCAAAAGCATCAACAAAGAATAATAAAGTTTGATGCGTTGCCACGGCAACAGTATCTAAGATATCAATAATCCTTTCTCAGGTCTACATCTGCCGTGTGTCTACATTATACACATAAAGTTTGAAGCAAATTGGGTAAAAATAAGAGGGTGATTTCAAAGCCTTTAGGAAGTGACACACTTCCTGCTGCCAGTTGGTGGCGCTATAACTTTGACTCACAATAGTCACATCCATGTGATCGGACTCTTACAGCGAACACACTGCTGAAGTTTCATCAAGATCAGTTAATGTATGCAGAAGTTATAACACACTTCCTGTTTCCTTTATTCGCCATAAATTCGTTTCCTCGCCACGGCCAAACCGTTCGAGATATCAAAAATCCCCTGGCAACTTTTCATCCTCAATGTCTTGACTTCATGCTGACCGAGTTTCGTGGCGATTGGTTGAATTCTCTAGGAGGAGTATATCGAATTCCAGGGGCATACGCTTCCAAACAAACCATAATAGCCGACTTCCTGTTGGGCTGGGGTAAAAAGTAAAAGTACAAAGGATATATGAATCGATGAGATCTATATGTGTACCGAGTTTCATATTATTACATTCAAGCGTGTTTGATTTATGGACCAAGTTTTCGGACC